AATGCTCTAATTATATAACAAATTTGGATGTCACAATGTAGATTTTCTTCCTCACAGCTGTGTTCTTGGACCCATGACCTTAATCTTGATGCTCCCACTGCGTAAAGGCAGATTACTAAAGCACACGCTCTCACCTGAGGAACAACATGTTGTATGAGCACATGCAATGTGTCCTTCTATTACTGGTGAGGCCAGTGTGAGCTATGGTTTAATATCCCCTTGCTGCTTGTCAGCCTATGATATTTCAGTCAAGGTTTTGATTCCAGAAAATAAGCCTATTCTTTGATGCACCTCTATTCAGAAAAGTGTGTAAACATCCATGAAACCTCTCTTCAGTAAGTACTTAGAAAGAAGGCACACATTTAAGACTCCCTTCTGAATAAAGTTCTTTACTTCAACCACTATATACATATAAATACATATGGATCTTGATGGACAAACTCCTAACATTTTATACACATACACATACTCACATATATATTTGTATTTAGTTATTTAACTTGGAGAACAAGAACAACCTCATTTTGGAAATGAGGTTAAGCCTCTGTGAAAGTAAGGAAAAAATTCTCATTATAAAGACATGTAAGAAACGCTTATGCTCCTTTATGGAGGCAGGTATCTAAAATAACAGCAGTCTGCACTCAAAACAGACACAGGCTGCTGCTCAGGACATAGGAATATATAAAGCTCAAGAAGGTGGAAAAATTTCACCAGCTACCATTGAGGAATCTGGGCTCTGTGTGGGCTTGCTATTATGAGAAATGTAGAGGAAAGCTGGGAACAGACTGTAGAGATTTACTTTTCTAAAGAAGCATAGATTTAATGATTTTGTGTCAAAACTTGGCTAAATAAATGCCTGGGAATTGTAGCAGAAACAATGTATCCTGAATGTATTCAGTGTGCCCCCTTATTTCTACAAGTAATCACTCAAAAAGCACACTCAGATCTAAGTTCAAACTTAATATGCAAAAACAACTTGTCAGATAATGTGAATAAAAAAAGGACTACTTATTTTATAGTTACTACTAACCTTGCAGATCAACACCAGATTGCACAACAAATATTTATGGTTAAACAGCAGAACTGTCTCTAATACAGCACAGTTTGATTAAAGATCTTATATTCAGTCTAGGTAATGAAAATAAACCATAATTGCTAATGACACCAGTAGACTCTAGATACCTTTGAAGACACATGAAAGGCAAAGCCCCTTTAATAAGGGATCAAGTAATTTCCACTGGAATGACTACCTGAGTCTCACACCTGCCAAATCTTCTTGACATGGACTTTCTCCCCAGTCCATCATGGCTGCAGCAGTGATGCCTTGGCAAGAGGGTTTCCCTGTTTAAATAAGTTAATTTCCCTGTTTAAATAAGTTTAGTTTAAATAAGCTATTGTTTTACTTCATCTCCTTGGAGTATTTGGTACAGTGCTTTTTCCTAGACAGCAGCTATCCTTTGCATCTCTGGAGCAAGAGCATTATTTTCCTCCCCTTTGGTAGGTTCGCAACTATTCCTTCCAGTGGCAAGCTAGCTAATGCAAGTTTTGCTTTGCAGAGCAAACAGAGCCCTTATGGAGAGTATATTGGATTCTCTTTGCAGCCCCTATGTTATTCTTGATGTGGAAGGTAGCATCTTCCATTTCTTACAATCATTCCTTCTTGTTTCTAGCACACACAGTTGGGATGGATCACCATCATTCCTGTCAGGTGGGTCTTCTTCACACACACTGGATCATCTCTGGGAGAATTCTTGGGGGCTGCCATTCAGAGGATGCACAACAATTATAACCTATGCTCCCTGCTGACTGTGGTGGAAGGAGAGGTGGTGGTGGGCAGTTCAGCTCTGTGCTGAGACAGAGACCAACATTCAGACTTTTTCATAGGCACTTTCTTTTTCTCAAGGCATCTAGTTTTCCCAGCATCTTTGATGTCTCTGTTTTCCAAGATCTATTTTAGCATTATAATTACATGTAAATAATAATTCTATTTTTTTTTCATCTGGAACTGAATATCTTGAATTTCCATATGCTGAAATAAGTGGTGGAAGACTTTCCTATTTTTACTGTCAGTTCTTTCCTAATTAGTCAGAAGTGGGATATGGACAGGACTGCCAAGCTCTGCTTTCCCAGAATTTGTGTTTTCTAGCATGACTTTGATGCTTGGTACTAAGGTTTCAGGGATGTTTGCTTTGATAACTGATTTTGAATCCTGACTGGCTTACTTTTTTTGCTAGGTTACGTATTTTCACAGGTTTTTTCAGGTCTATGGCTCAGTAACACAGTGCTACTAGCACATTTTGTGCTTCTAAGATATGTGCAATCTGCACATATCCACAGAATGCTGCTGCTCATGTTGCCTACACAGTAGCTATGTATGATAATGCTAAGCAGCCCCAGAAAGTAAGTGTAGCCTTGTTTCACACCAGTGTTCGAAGTGAACCAGCCTCTTACAGGGACTCCCAGATGCAGGCATGCACCCCTCTCTGCAAGGCTGTGATGACAAAGAGCTGAGTGCTGAAGTTCCACAAGGCATTCCTGAGGCCCATGTCAAGCAACCTGAAAAAACAATCAATGAAGGTGGTGATGAGCAAAGCATGCCATTGCACGTGTTCTTTCAGGACGCTCCTTTGCATGAATATCTGGTTTTCTGGGCCTGAGTCCAGAGGCTGCTCTCCTCCAATTATGTATCATCTTGCACAGTATTCCACTGCAAATGACCTCCCCTATAGCATAGGGCAGAGAGACACTTTCCCAGTCTCACATTTTAATATTTTAATAACTCCATGTTTTCTCTCATAAAAATTTGGCATTTTTTCCTAGGTTTTTTTCAACAACTTTTTAAATTTTACTTCTGCAGTGACATAATGGTCTCTTAGCATCTCTTACTACAACTAAAATGTCTATCAATGCATTTTTGCTGCTACCTACTGGACTGCAACTTGCTTTTCTGGTGTCATCATCTTACCAACAGCAATCTCTTTTTAAAGAGATTCACATCATCTCATGTTACAGAATCTCATGTCAAAGTAGGGCAAGCTTTCTGCTGCTGACTTCTTTAAAATGCTTTGCTAATCCATATTATATCTGTTGTATGTATTTCCCTATCTTTGCATTTGATCAGCCCACTTCCTGCTTAAACTACCCACACAGGATTTTTGTAACTTGGTAAACAAGATCTGCAGTTTCCTACCAGGGCAGGAGTTTCAATTTCAAGTTTTAGGTTTTTGATACATCTCTGTTCATCTTTCCTTTGCATCTTTACAAAGGACATTATTTGTCACTGATTTATTCACTCTCACGTTCCTTCCTGTAATTGCACACTTTTCATTGTCTCAGCAATGTGGACAGCCACAGGAGCTGAGCTGGGTAGCACCACAGACCTCCTGGCCCTGGTACAGTGGAAGCCGTAGGAGAGATAAACTCAAGGCAAGGACAAAGTGAAGAAATCATGTCTGGTCACTCTGACCCCTTTGACAAGAGAAGGTGTAACAAGGACATTCCTGGCGCAAAAGAATGTAACAAGGACTTGATCACTGAAAAGATTGTGTTGCTATGGGAAGAGAGCCAAAGGGGTCCTAGTGGAACATTTTGCATGCACATTAGAGAACTATAAATACTGGTGATCAGTGTAATAAGCTGGCTTTGCTTGCATAGCATGGTCCATGTCCCTTCAATCACTGCACAGCACTATAGAATTTTTATTTCTGAGTTTTTGTTTTCTTCATGGTGCACCCTTTTTGGGCTTAACTGGTTTATTCTGCCCGTCCTTCCCAGACTTTTCTGCTTGGCATTACAAAGACCATCACTGATACCATCAGTTATATAAAACATCTGACCCTGGAGGGTGATTGTGTCAGTATCTATTTCTGAGTCTTTTTGCCATCTGGCAACACCCACATGTTTAAGCCAGCAAGGTGCTTAAAATACATCAAACAACAAGTACAGATAAGTCTGTCTCCCACCATATTGGTAGATCTTTCACACAAACTATTTTAACACAAGGCCTAGGTAGGCTATGTGACTCCAAGTCTGCATGACTAAAAAAAGGTTGCTAACCTATAAGTGACAATACAAGCACTTAAACCAAGAAAGATATATTAAAAAAAGCTGAAACAACAACAGAAGTAAATTGTTGAGTTGGCAGCAGTCACTTGTGGACTCATGGAAAAATTAACAACTGAAATAACTCTAAAACTGAGAAAAAAAAAATAGAATACGAATATAACAACTCAGCAAAACTGAGGATCACCCTATTGCAGGGAGCAATGGAGTCTGGCACTTCCCTGTGTGATTGCCATCTGCCTGACCAGCAGAAATCCAGTGGTTACCTGCATCAGAAGTGGTGAGGGTATTAATGCTTAGGCTAATAGCACATTACTCACAGCCATTTATTGTGTGTACAGTCCAACAAATAGCATAATTGCTCCATACTCATAAATTGTGTTTGTGATCCTGCTTTTCAGCCTCCATGCAGAGGAAAAGACATCCATATAAAAGTGAACAAAAATGCTGAGAGGGTTATACTACACCATTGCTCTATTTCTTGATTGCTATATTCATCTTTGTTATGAAAGTGATCCATGAAAACAAATAGGCTGAGTTTTGGTATTTCTTAATTCCTACTATGAAGGCCATTTTGGAAATGCATTATTGTGTTCTTCTTCACAGTTCTCTGTCATATCCAACATTGTGCAACCTCTGTTTTGGCATGTGGGGTGCCATGCATTGCTCAGATCACCTGTTTGGTTGGCACACTTCCTTCTTCTCCATCCTAGTTGCCAGATGACAGTCTGTCTTCCTGGAGTGACTCAGCCTGCATGCTGGCTGACTTACCTGTCACTGCCCCTGTCATCCACACGTGGATATGTGTCAAGGCAGGATGTGGGTGGAGATGGAAGCACAGCCCAATTACAGAATGAAGAATGGAGGTGGGAATGCATGAAATTAATATTGGTAGAGTGGGAACTGTGGCTTTCTTCATAAAATCTTAAACTCTATTTACCTCTTAAGATGACTTCCAGCAGAGCAAAGAATTGGGCTGGTCTTACAATCTAGGCATTTGGTGTTCACAGAAATGTAATAGATTCAGGCAATATTCTGTGTCATCTATTAGCTGAAGCTAGCCACCAAAGCTGGAAAGAAGAAAAAAAAAAAAAAAAGCTAGGAACAAATGTAAATGAAAGTTATTTTTTGAAGTTGAAATAAGCTATTGTTTTATTTCGGCTTAACAAGACTTAAAAAAAAAAAGAAAAATTAAACAGTGGTGGGAGCATCAAGGTTTGAGAGAAAATGCTGAAGGAGATGGAAGAATGAGAAAAACTTACAATTTGGCTTATAGAAGCTCCTTGCTGTCCTGTAGCAAGGTCACCTGTAATTCTACAGACTCATCAAGGAGACAGTTGTCTTCGCTTTGGGGAAGGAAGGAAGGGTGAGTCTGCTGTCCTGTACATTTTTGCTGTGTGAGCAGCCCTCAGTGACTGGCCAACACCTGATAATCTGCCCAGCAACACGACCCCAGCAGCCTGCCAGCACTTGGTGATCTAGTCCAACAGCAGCACTGAAAGCTTTCCTTCTCCATTGGTGAATGGATCAGCACAGATGTGTGACCACACCAGGCTTAATGAAGTCAACAAAATACTTCTGGTGAGCACAGTTTTTTATCAAGCCATGCAAACATGCAGTGCTGCTGTCACCTCAAAGCAAGTTAACTTTAACACACCCTGATGTTTCCTGGAAATCAAGGGAAATGAAGTTCCAATTGAAATTTGGGCATAAGTGTAAATGTCTGCCAAACCACGGCCTGTATACATAACCTGATGCCTGGTTTCTATTTTCTGGTTTACAAATGTTAAAAAAATCCTTCCGTTGTGAGACTACCCAAACTCTCTTGCAACATGAGTAGGACCTTTGTTTCCGCAGACGTAATAGCATATATGGCAAAGAAAATGCATGAGTTGTGAACAGATGACTTCATATAGCTTTCAGGGCTAAAAAAGATGACTTTTCCTTGCTCACAACCTTACCCTTCTCAATCCCCCTCATTAATTGTTGCTGCAAGTGAGCAGCTTCCTAGAGAACAACAAGACTCAAATTACTGTTGAAGCTGAAGGAATGGGGCTCAATTTCTCCAGCCTGAGAATTGTATTGACACCAAGCATCTAACACTGATCTACTGATCAGAAAGCCCACAGGTAGTCCACATAACCTGCTGATTTTGCTACAAAACTGGCTGGAACTGGAGATGAAGCTGGGACAACTAGGAGGATGATGTAGCCACAAGTCATGAACTCAAGGAAACCATGTCCTCATGGTTCCAATACTGCACTACAAATAAATCTGTTAACTACCAGTGGTGTCACCTGATGGGAGTATATCAAACCAATATTTAAGAAAAAAATAATTCAATCACTTACCAAGCCAGTGAATCCTATTGACATCATATGTGGGGGTTTTGAACACATTTTGAAGGAAGTAATTATTGAGAGGTGGCTAAATGGGAGAAGAGATTAAAATGCATTGATGACTTGAAAAAAATAGATCATGCTACAAATAATTTTCTTCAATAAAAATGGAGACAAACACGCTTTTAGGATACTAGAAAAAATAACTTTTGGTTATAAATCAAGCCTTAATGAAAGTGTTAAATGATTCTTATATAATTACATCACATTCAACAATGTGTATGTTCAATACGCACTATGGTGATAGGTAACATCATTTAGGAATGCATAAAATAGATAATCAGCAAAAAATAGATCAGTAAGTAGGGCTGACCATTATCCCTCTTCCTGCCTACACTCTCAAGTCTTTCAAACACATTATTTGACTATGATAAGATTTGTAGTTAGATTTCTTAGCTAAATTGTGATTGAAGTGTGTGATATATACAAAGGTGCCTGTGATGGGACTCCATAAGCCTGTGAAAAATACGGGCCCAGTGAAGCTGAGAAGAGAGAGAACACCTGAGAAATTAGGATACAGCCCCAGGAAATGGGTGAAGGTTATGAAAAGGAAGAGGAGAATGTTCCTTGTAAAGGAACTGGAAAGGGAATTCAAACACGAGAAAAATGGAGTGATGCAGTCTGAGAGGATCCTCTGCAGCAAGGATATCACATCTGATTCAAGTGCTCCAGTGTGTTATCACCACTGCCCTGGTTATTAGCATGGGAGCTCAAAGTGAATTGTCACTAAACCAAACCAAACCTACACTCAGCTGCTGTCTTCTGTATAAGAGGGAGGGGGTGTTACATCCTTTGGTAGGAACAACATGACTTGTGGTTTGCACAGCATACCCCAAATTCAGACAGATGGAGTAAAAACTGAAAACAAAGCCCTTTCAGCCCTGAAGAGATTCAGTGTAGGAACATAAATTTACCCATTTTTCTGAACAGCTGTTCCCAGGCTTCCTCCTCCTCCATCCTTTATGAAATCTCCAAAATGCCAGAAACTGCAACACAGATTCAGTGCATTGTATTCCTTCTTCTGAACAATGCTCTCCCATCTGGTTTCCTGATTTTGTAGGTGATAACTTAATGACTGCCACTGGTATTTCCTGGGATTACACTGTTGGGTTTTTCCACAATGCTTCTATCAACTCATGCCCTTCTTCTGAGAAAAAAAAATTAGATGTAGGTTAAACCAGCCTGATACAAATGAACAATTACCCCCAGCTCTGTGAATTGAATAGGCTGAATGGAGATGTGTTTTCTTCATAAAAGGTATCACTGCAGTAAGAAAAGCCCACTGATCTCTTAGGAAAAATTAATTAGGCAGAAAAGAAATACTGAAAGAACCTGAGCTAAATTGGTGAAAATAGGGAAAAAAGGCACAGCAGTGGCTGGGGAAGTGAGGTAGTTAAGAGAAAAGAAAGTAACAATGAGTTAAACAAAGGGAGAAAGTATATGATGCATTATTTCATACAACATCATTGACAAAGTACGTCAATATCAGCAGATCCCTTGCTGGATCTGTGGCAGCCTTGCAGCTCCATCCTTCCAGCCCATGGTGGGGGAGCTGCAGCCAGCTTTGTTTCACTCATCAGGAGAGGAGCAGCATCGCGGGCCCTTATTAAAGTCCTAGAGTGGTTTAAGCAGCTTAAACTGCTTTATAAGCTTACAGTATCTAAGCCTTCAAAGCTGCTTAAAGCTATTTAAGCCGCTTAAGACACTTTAGTATGTTGGTATGTGCAGTGGGGCTGTACCAACACCCTGGCCTGCAAAGCAAAGAGTCCACCTTCATATTTACAGGTCCCAGCAATGAAATCACCTCGCTGGGGCTGCCCTGAGCACGCTCAGCTCAGCTGAGTTCTCTCCTCTTGGGTCACAGAAGAGCTCAGTTTGGAAGAGACCTTTAAAGGTCAGCTACTCCAATGCCCATTGTCTAATTGTCCCTCCCTGTACTGTGGGATTAAGGCTGCCCTTGACACCTAACATTTTAGTACCAGGGTCTTTGAAATTCTGCAAGTTTTTTTACTGCCATGGATCCACAGGTGGGGTGTCTAATGATATACCTGATGCAAGCCATATGTATTCTGTCAGTATTTATCCATTTGCACATCAAAATTCACGAGTGCCAGTGCTTTTCTTATAAGAGAGGAAGTTCGTGTGCAATATGAAATGCTTATTCTGGTGTCTGAATGTCCACTACAGTTTTAAAAGAACTAAAGGACCAGTTGATATTCACCAGTTGATATAGGTATACCTATAAACACTGAAATGAAATATTTATAAAATTCTGGGAGTCATAACCCTGATCCCATCTTTGAGGATCATATTTTGCTAGATTAAAATAACAATGGTGACTGAAAACACTTCCAGTTTACAGTCATATTTTTGTTAACACTACAGTCCACTTTGATGATCACAGATTTCTCTAGAAGACATTTTTGAGCCAGTTATTTTCACATTAAGTAGTGACTAGAATTTGTCAGAAGTTTTACATGGGTTTGAATTTCTAACAAAGAGCATATTTTCTGAAAAAAACTTAGTTTTAAATACTAAAAAAATGAAATATAAAAATAAATGGCTTTGCTCAGTTTTTCTTTGTATGATTTTAAAGAGATTTATTTTGAGCTAGCACAAAAAATATCATATTTCAGAATGCTATTTTACTTACATAGTAATTCTGGTTGGCATTTTCTTGTGTATATGAGGCCTCTGTGCTCCTCTAGATAAGATATGTATGTGTACATATATATATACACACATACATACATGTGTGATGCACCATGACCATGCAACATTTTGGGTTTTCAATGTTGAAATGCTCAATTATAATTCAAGCCCTTAAAACTTTCCAACCTTTTCAAAACACTTACTTTTTTTCCTCATTCCCATTCTTCCAATTTTCCAAAATAGAAAAATGTCCTAAAACTTTGAATAGAAAGAATTATTAAAACAGAATTTCTCTCAGGTTGAGAAGCCTGCACTTGTTAGTTTTACTGATGTCTATATCTGTGCTGTTTTTTTGCAGACCCACTGGCATGACAACAAGATTTTGTCCTTTTCCATTGGCAAAGATTATTTGATCTGTGTTTATTCTGGATATGTTTATTTAATTCCTCATTTGAGCACTATCATAAATGATTAGGTCATTACTGCCCTGGCAAAATAACCAGTCTAATAATTAACTTGTGCTTGCAGAGCTCTTCAACAGCTCAGAAAAATACAGTAGTTTGCACATAGAAGAATCATAGAAGTACAGATTTGGATAGAATCTCAAGGAGTTATGTAGTTTGTTATTCCTCAATAAAAGCAAACCAAAAATTCCACAACACAAAATCAAGGAAAGATGTTAAAAAAAGTACTAAAGAACAGCCTGTGCAATATTCCATAACAGCAACTGAATATGCTTAGAACCTCACATGGAATTTTCAAATGCTTTCTTAGTGAAAATATGTTATGGATTACCTTGTAATAATTTGTATGCTCTGTCACAGTTCCAGTGATTTCAGCCACCTGCTACAAAACATGCACCTGGGCCATCTCCAGCTTCAAAGAAAGTCCACAACTGTCTTGATAAGTGCAGATGGCAGTCTCTCTGATTTGTATCTAAAATCAATAATGGCAAGTATTTACAATCTTCTTGGGTAATATATTCCAGCAGTAATCTTTTCTTCTAGTTAGAATGGGTTACTGTCTTATTATTGTAGTATAGCTGAAAAAGGTTTCTTTGACATTCTGTGTGTCATTAGTGGGCATCAAACACCATAAAACCTCTTTGTAATAGCCTATTATGTACCCAAAAACTGTTGAACACCATATAACCTTTATTTATTTTTTTTTTAAGATTAAAACAAAACTAGAACTTGCAACCTTGCTTTATGTATCCAATGTTCCAATTTCATCCTTGTTGATCTCTGGATTGCCTCCAGCTGATCTACACATTTCTGAAATTATGGTGCCTCAGAGTAAAACAGTATTTTAGCTGAGGCCTCACAAGTGCCCAGAAGACCATGTTAATTATCTCGTCTTATGTACACTGTCATGAGTAGACAATTCAAGAAAATCTAGAATTACATTTATCTCTTTTCCTCAACAGCATCACTCTGTTGGCTCATTCATGGCCCTTATTAATCACTAGATCTTTATCTGCAGTGGCATTTTGTGGTTATGCTTTTGATTTCATCCTCCCAAATGTAGCCCTCTGCGATCGCCTTTGTTCAAATTTTTCATGTTGGATTTCACAACCTACCAGGATATTTTTGAATTCTAATTCTGTCCTTGAGCATATTCTCCAAATCTTTACATATTGTCACCTACCAAGCTTATAGGTATATAATTATTTCTAATTCTGTCATCTAAATCTTCATTGAAATGTTAACAGAACCCTATCCATTAGGAACTGAGCAAGACATCCCCACGTGCAGCTACCAACCACCATGTATTAGGCTTACTTTTGACAGTGGACTGAATTAGGAATGATTTCAAATGGAACAGTTTTCCCCAGTTCATTTATGAGCATGAAGGATGATATCAAAAGCCTTCCTCAGGTCAAGATACATCTTGGGTCTTACATACAGACATTTGAACTGCTTTTCCTTATCTTTTGGACCAGTTACCTTATTCAAGAAGAAACTTAAATTAGTTTGACAAATTCATGTTGGATGCTTCTTATCACCTTCTCATGGCGTGTATGAATTTACTTCTCAATAATTTGTCTCATTATCTTTCTCAGTAGTGACATTAGGCAGAGTCCTCTGTAATTTCCTAGGCTCTTCCTTTCCCATTTTTAAAAGCAGGAAAGGTTATAACCCTGCAATCAGCCAACAACTTCTTAATTGTGTCAAAATCTAAGCCTGCCGTGAACACCAAATTTAAGAATAAAAAAGTCACCAAATTTTTCTTTTCCTTTTTTTAAAACCCAGGTGCCATGATGGGAAGAATTAAGGAAGAGCAAGGCTTTAAACCAAGTTTGGTTTAAAAGAATGTGCAAAATGGATATTGTAATGCCAGATTTCTGCTAATTACCAAAAATTTTAAGTGTGATGCTGACTGCATTTCCATCTTAGGGTACAAAATTGCTGTAGGCCCTGGTGACTTACCCAGTCCTTCAGGAACTTTCAGAGATAAGTCAAGAGCCCAGTAGGTATTAAGTGAATTTCAGCAAGCACTAGAGACTTGTGTACATCTCACTTATTCCAACATTCTTTTACTTGTTTTTTTCCCTACTCTGGCATATGTCATTATGTTTTAAAAAAATAGCATTGTTAAGTACTTATCATTGATGCTTATGTGCATGTGAAGAAAGTAGCAAAATTAATAAAACCTTTCCCTCAACTCTGGCTGTCTATTATTTGTGCCTCTGCCCTTCTCTTCCTCTAACTTCTTGGTATTTATACAACCCATTTTATGCTCCAGGAAAGTTGTAACTCATTTTCGACTCATTCTTTCTACTTTTATCCCTAGATGTTTATGCCAGTGCTTTGTTACCCATCTCACTTATATGCTTTGAGATTAAGAATAACAGACCACCACTTTGTCATCAAGCAGGATTGTCTCTATAAAACTCGCTTGTGTATTTATATGTTTCTTCTGTGTACAAGTTTTAGGATCAATTAGACAGCCAGCTAGTAAGAGAGAGAAAGTAACTACAAAACCAAGAAAAGTAGAGCTGGTGTTTCTAGCTCTTATCATTCATCCCACACAAATGCACAGCCCAGTTTTCTGGGCTCTACATCAAAGCACGGGTATTTATGGCTAGACTTACCCTTTGGTATGTGCTTTCCCATGGGAGAAGAGCTGCTAATCAAGGTCAGGATTGCCCAAGCAGGCCAATGCTTCCACAATATGCCCTTGATTTCACTCTTTGTAGGATTGCCTTTTTGATATTCAAGTCACTGGAGGATTCCTTATGCAGATAATGCTGGCCTATTACTACTTATCTGTCTTTCACGTCAGGATGGTTTGCTGGTGCACCTACAGCATGGTTTCACTTACAGGTTTATTTTCTTTAGAATTCCTTCACATGGGACAGTTCCTAGCAGCACCCTGATTTGCTGTGATGGACAGTGGTCAGGTTTTTTATTAGCTTCATCTAAAACCAACACCAAACCAGTGTGTTTCACCTAACAGTTTTCACATAAGAAAAATAATCGGTTTAAAATAGATAATATGCGGCTCTAAGCAACCTAATTATATCCCATTTTTAAAAATTACTTTGCCAATGAAAAAAGGCATGTCAGGGCTTCAGCATGATGATTTATGGCTCTGTCATAATGACAGATGTTCTTCATGCATCTCTAACATTGTAATCTGGGATCAATGTGCTTTTTTTTTTCATGTTTGCTGGTAAAAAGAAATACACTATATAAATACATCATTATTTGTCTTCAAGGCCTTGTTCTGCATTAGCTTGGGAAACTGGTTTGGTTTTGAAATGAGTTCTATAGTAAAGCCACTGTAATAGTGTACCACAAAAGCAGCACTGCAGTTGGACACTTACCCTTGCTGGACACTTACCAGGCTGATATGCTGAAATGCAGGGAGGATCTGGCATGCTGCTGTGCTCCTCTGAGCCTCGGCAGACTTCAGCCAGGGTATATAGCTTCTCAGTTCACCCTGCAGACTGAGATTCCTGATCTCAAGCGCTCCTTGTCAGCATCCAGGATTTATTCCCTATATTCCTTGGCTGCTGAGAGGCAGGATCTGAGCCTAGTGGGAGAGGGAATCAGTGAAGCATGAATGGAGAAAGGCATTAACTCACAGAGGAAGAGAAGTGAGAAATTGTACCAAAAAGGAGCTTCTTTCTGCCACTCCCCACCTCACACACTGCAGTTTGATAATCCTCCATCTCTAGCCCTTTCTTAGGTAGAATTGTTCTTGGATCCCATGTTTCTGCTTAGAGAACTGCTGAGAGAAGCTGAAGGGCCACAACTTTAATTCAATAAAGCAGTGGAGTGACAGAGACACAGGAATATCTGTACACACATTTTTGTAAGTTTTGATGTTGCAGTGAAATTACAGCAAAGTTCTCTACCAGTCCATCTTAGGGATTGCACTTCTCACAGCATGGCCACACTGGTCAGTGCTTGTGGGATAAATATAACTGATGTTCAGAGCTTCTGCAAACCATATATCATCTTGCTGCAACAGCTTCTACAGGTTTCTTATTGTGAGGGTATTTCTCTGCAGTCCAGATCTCTGGTACAGTTGCATTTATTGATTAGTCTTGCTCAGCTCCAGGTTCTCAGAAAAAAAGTGCAGAAAATCATCTTCCACAAAATGCAGAAGTTACAGGAAAACTCCTTTTGCCAGATATGATTTTATAGCCTATCTTCACTAGGAAAAAATGTGTGATCAGCTATAAAAAACAGCATTAAAAACATAGTGAAATACTGCATCAAAGAATATTCGTTAACAGTGAACTTACTTGGCTGGTGCCATTTTTTATGAGCTTTTTGATAAGATAGGCTTGGGGAAGAATTAAATACAGAGAATGGTTCTGCACTGAGGAGAAAAGGGTGTTAACTCATCTTTCAGATCTCTACTTTTCACAAATGAGATAACAAACAGGTGCTATCATCAAAACAGGCAAACAGGCAAGAGAAACCCTGCATTTAAGACTGCCTTCATCATTATTACCAACAGAGGATGACAATGCTACATTCTGGGGTTTCCTGAAAGCTGCATCACATATTAAACTAACCCATGCCTGCCCTGCTAGCTTTACTACATGAGTAGTAGTAGGATGTATGGTAAGTAAAAGGAGATCTACTCTAGAAGATACCTAAAGCCTTCATGAAGATGAAATTTCATTAACAAAGGGTGTTGTTTGGACAGGGTCCCAACAGAAACAAAATGAACTGTGTGTGCTAAGGCATGCTGAGATTCAGGCTAGTCTGGGACCTAGAGAGGCACAAGAGTGGATCTCCACTGCTGCTGAAAACCCCTGACCCTGATCTCAACCAGCTCCCCAGCTCCCAGATCACAGCTGGTGCACGGGACACAGGTACAGACCAAGGGCAGGAAGTCTCTTTCCAGCTGTATCTGCTCATCTGGCCATGGTTGGAGATACCCAACCACAAGCCAAACTTAGCAATACAAATACATGAAAGAAAATTGCTCACATGAAAGCCAAAAAAGGGCTTATTTTCAAGGTGGTATGGCCTATCCATGTCAGTTCTGCTGAGCTTCAGATACTGCAAGTTTGAGGACTCAGACTATTCTTCAGGGTTTAGGAAATCAACAAAAGTTAATCTTTAGACAAAGGACATGCAAATAATTCACCATTATGGTGCAAATACAGAAATCAAGTTTCACACGTGGTTACTATTTCCTAACTTCCTCAGGGCTACAGATCTTTCAATTCATTTGGTCTTAAAAAAAAGAAGTATATGACATTGCTCAAAGATTTACACTTACAAATCAATGCATTTTTCAGCTACTACACAAACTTATTTGGGGTTGAAATATTTACAACATGGCAGAAAAACAAAGTATGAATGCAATTCTTTGTATGATTGCAAAGCTGTCCTGTTAACAAAATGTTCTTTTTTGTTTTCTTCATTTTGCAAGAAGCCAGAAACAATAAACAGTAATCATATTATTTCTTTTGAATCATATGCCTTTCAATAAAACCCTCAAGGAAAAAAAACTATTGGTCATGGTCATGAAGAGACATATTCATGAACTTATAAGGCACAGTCATTCTGTTAACTTTAGTAATTTACTTCATAGCAATAGGGTAGTTTTGAAGCAAATACCCAGACTGTACCCATAAAACCACATATTAACTGGTTTCTCAAAATTATGTTGGTGCGCACAAAGCAGATTCCTGTTGCATGAAACCAGAACTCTACAGCATTCCAACTCAATGGAGTAATTGGTCCTAAATTCTCATGTGGACTTCCCATGACAAAAAGCTCCAGTATGTAGTTAAGGTACAGACATTCCCCAAAGCTCTCAGACCCTGAAGAGTGGCCACAAAACCTGAAGGAAGCTGCACAGTCAGGTACTGCATATATCTTCCTCTTCACTACCAACTGCCCTTCCTCAATCAGTTTAGCAGTGATTATCTATCCCTCCTGCTTTGTCCTCAGTTAACCGAATTTCAAAACTAAAACCTTTATTTTATCATTTTCCCTGCCTTTTGCTGCTGAACCCATCTTTTTTGTGTTATCTTTCTTGTCCCCACACTTCAATCTCTGCTACCGCACTGGAAGCACCCTCTTACACCTGGTAATTGCAGACTGCAGCCCAAAGAAATTACATTTCCAAAAAATGTGTACCGTGATAGAAAGAGGAGTTTTTCAAGGGGCATGATAACCCAGTGGCACTCAGAGGTGGAGCAAAGCCTTATGTGTGTAGTTGTAGCTGCAGCAGGCTGGAAGTACAAGAATAAGATAAGAATCTTATCAAGGCTTCTCTCTCAGATGTCTTGGAGATCAAAGCCTTGAAGAGTTCAGATGTCACCCGTAGCACTACCGAGGACAAAATCTCCATACCCTCTTGACCTGTAGTGTACCTGCTCACCTCAAAGGAACTAGTGACCAAGGATTAATGGTCAGACGCTGCAAGACTAAAGGATGGCAGGCATTTGGACATGGCTCTGAGTTCTGAAATCTCATCTGAGGATGGTCAAAGTATGGCACCAACTTACAGAAGAGGGCACTGATGATGCTCTTTGGCATCCAAAAGTCCTTCACCCACCTCAGGTTATCCTGTCTACCTGTCACAATCAGCATAGTCCCAATTGTTACATTTATTTTAAAATTTGTATCCTATATTCAGAAAACACTGCAGCATTTGAGTCTCAACAAATATTACGGAAGGACAGTGGCATTTTTATGGTCTTCCAGATGAACATTATTGAACAGCTCAAACATGATCTTCACAAGGCATTGCAAACACTCCTAGAAAAAACACTGTCACTACAATACTTGGTCAGACCAGTGACTGGTCTGGTCCAATAGGTAGTCTCAGAGGAGAATAATGCCAAATATCCATGAGTAAGTCTCGTGACTCAACTGTTAATTCAATAATTGGGGGTGGCTGAATATACATTATTGGAATTTTGTCAGGCAGTGATAATGACCTAGTATTTCTCCATGAAGTTGTTAGCTCTGATGCAATTAAAAATGTTAACCACGTGTGCATTCCTTTTTAATTACATGTTTAACCCAACAGCTTACTGAAACAACAAAAACTGAGAAATAGCTTACATTTTTAAAAAATATTTTGAACTCTAAGGATGCTAATCTAGGAAGATTACTCACCATCTTCCTTAATCATTTCCATGTTTGCTTGCTTTCTGGAGAAGTGTACATTAACACTCACTAGAAATGCTACAGCCTACTTCAGTCCTGCTCTAAGAGAATCCTCCAGTGAGACTTTGCTACAAATGCAAAAAATTCAGACAGAAGTTGTGTGACTGTAAGGTAATGTTGTGATTCTTTTCACCAGCCTGGATTGATGAGAAGTCAGGCGCCTTTTATTGTCAATTAATCCTAAATATGGGATATAGGAAAAAGACTTGTAGTTTTTAAAATATTAAATGGAGTTAATATTTTTTCTCATCTTCATAATTTTTGATTGTGAAGAGAGGCTCATTGCATACTAGTAGATATGCAAACACTTTGAGATAATTAGTTTAATTTTCCAGACTGACTTCCTTTTGAGGTGTCTTCATTAACCCATCAGCCACAGCCAGCCTCTGCACATCCTGTGCCCCTCATCAAAATGTGTTTTCCTCAGCCTGCAGCCCAGCACCTACAGCTCATTCTCTTGGGGTATTATGCATCTCCTCAGCAGCCTCTTTGTATGCACAGCTCATATCTACACCAAGCCGCTCCCTCTGTATCCTTTTCTTTCTCATCCTTTGTTGAAGCCTGCATTTATTTTCAAAGACTCCTCTACTCAGCCTTTTATGTGCAGTGCTTTAAATCCTTTTATTCCCCTGAGCATTCCCAGCTATCCATTCTTTCCCAGAGAGGGAGGTGGATCTTCCTTGAAGTCATTATTCAGGGAAAGAAGACTAGGCCCCATTATTTGATTGATTTCACAAGTCATTTAAATGAATGGTATGTAGGCACAACTAGCAAATGCTTGTTAAAATGGTTAATTTGATCATTTCTTTTCTGTGATAGTGGGAGAACAAAAAAATTACAAAATGAGTAGCTGAGCAAAATGGCAAGAATTATGTTTTGTCCTTTGAAATAATATTAAATGACAACATAAATCCTGTAGAAATACTTATGGGATATTGCTGTATCTACCGAGAGTTCATTATGTCTTATATTATTAGAATGAAAGACAAAGAAATGAGTGAATATATTATGATGTTAAAGCTGCACCAATTTTTATTTAAGCAATCACATTACAGGCAGTGCAGTGTGCCAGAAAAATGACTGGTTCAGTGACAAAAATCCTTTTCTATTACAAAGCCCCTTTTAGGATAATTAGCAACAGGACAGAAAATAAGATACAAAATATCTTTAAATGTAGGAAAAATGGGAAATTATTCTGATGATCTAAATTTGCCTTAAGCACTTGCTTGCATGATAAAATCACTATAATGATATACCTAACTTAGTGGTCTTCACACAGAAAAGGTTGAACACTTAAGTAGAGTAATAAGACCAGAAAGACAAAGCTCTTGAAAAAAGATCTTGCCATGATCTTTCTCACTTATGTACTGTTTCAGTCAAT